GGTAATAGTGATCACGACTGCAGCGTGGTCCGAGACGACAGAGTCCGAGACGGATGCCGCAGAATCGACGGTGGCAGCCTGGAGATGACGCTGGCAGACCATCCACCCAGGAAGACAGAGGAAGAGACGATCGATAGCGGCCTCTGGGTTGGACTTTTTCTCGCAGTGCGACCCAATATCGCACTCCACTTCGACAAGCTGCGAGAGGGCTCGGCGCCAGACCTGAGCCTGCCCGCGATGTTGCCGCGCAGCACGTCGCACCGCGGCCTGAGGCATGTGAAGAACGACGGCCTCTTCCGCAACGAAATTGAAGTCGCCCACGACCAGCACGAGCCGCTGGGTGGGGGCGCTGGGCGCGGCAGCACGAGCCTCGAGGATAAGCCTGACGATCTCCCTGACGTGCACTCGCTTCAAATCATGATTGTGAATGCTAAAGGTGTCCATGCATATCGAGCCACACTCGATAGAGACATGCAATACCCGACCAGGTACAAGAGCCACTGCGCGGCTTCGCACGCGTTCTCCGGCTGCCTGGCAACATTGAGGAAGAAGAACAGCAACGCCCCCGCGGATACGGTCCGCACCTGAGTCACCACAAAACGACGAATGCACCGTCAGCGACTCCCCCAGCGGGCCCAGAAACTCACGGAGTTGAAATTCATTCTGCCTGACTTCCTGCAGACGCACGATAGAGCGAGCAGGTTGAAGACGGAGTAAGTAGTTAAGTTTGCGCGCACCATTTTTGCCAGCGCATTGAAGCAATGCACGGGCATTCCACGCGGCAACCCTCATGGAGCACACAGGGGCAGATGACGACGGCGCAGTACACTTGAATAGCTTCCATACGTCAAAGACACCACGGTGGTTCGGCCTCAGGTTCGACGAGGGGGGCCAACAGCGACACGAGGTCGGCTTTGACGAGGTCGTGCTTTGCCATTGAGTGCCCCAGTAGAACTCCGCAGGCTTGTTACCAGGATGGGCCTCCACGCGCATGATTCGGCCCCAGCCGATAGGGAGTGTGGCACGCTCTCTGCCCGTAAACAATCGAAGGTTCGGATGACGCTCAGCAATGAGTCCACGGGCCCTCCGCAGGAGGATGTCGCAGCGAATGTGGCGTTGCGACTTGTCAGGGCCCAAGTGGATACGGCAGCGTGGGCGGCCTGCCACTTCGACCGTGAACTCCTTCCAGCCTCCCTCGGGGCGCAGGGAGCCGATGACCTTGGCCGCCATCCTGGACGCGACGGCAATGAGGCCCTTGAAGCGGATGTGAAACTTCTTGGTCGGCACAACGCCGACGGGAACAACGTCGTAGAGGTCGCCGGCAAGGCCGAAGAAGGCGATCCAAGGGCGTAGTTCAGCTTCGACACAAGCCGTGGTGGTCGGACGTTGGGCCATGGCCACCACCAGCGAGGCGTCCACCTCCCTGTCGAACCCTTTCGGCTGAGTGAGCGGAATGCGAGGGCGTTGTTCAGCCAAGTGGAGCTCCTTCTTGAGTGTCTCCGTCTGGGCCTGTACTTCGAGCGCCTGAACCTCAACCTTGGCAACACGCCCATCTGTTTCATTGATCTGCACCTGCTGGGCATCAAGCTGCGACTGCATGCGGCGGGCGGTGGAGTCGAGCTGGGGGCGGACGATCGAGAGGATCTTCTGGTCGAGGTCCGCGGGCGGCTGAACCAGCTGCGCACGGAGCTGGTCCAGCAGCTCGAGGGTTGGTCTGTTTTGGACTTCAATATTCTGTTTGATGGTGGCAGTGAGAGACTTGCTGATGTCGGTGGCCAGCTCTTCTCGTATCTTGTCAAGCATGTCGGCACAGCATTGCTTGATATAGTCCTCCGAAGCGTCGTCGTCATCGTCGAGGCGCGGTGGCAAGTCGTCGTCTTCGACGGCAATCGCAGGCTGGCCATGAGGAGGAAGAGCACGCCGCTTATGAGCAGCACTGCTGGCGATACGAGCGGGGACGCAGCCTTTGCCTTTTTCCCGCCTTGCTCTCTTGGGACGGGAAGGTTGGTGCGAGCTCCAGCAGCTCTGCCTGAGAGGCCGAGATCTCCCCAGCGGGGGCGCCATCAGCCATCACGAGCAGCTCAGATGGAATGGGAAGAGACTTGGCGGGGGCCCAACTCCCGCGGCGAAGGCACACAAATATAGCTAGGCACCAGAGGACTGGATTGGTGAGTGGCCTCAAAGCGGAACCTCCCTCGCGCTCTGAGGTCGCCCCGAAAGACTCGCGGTCGTCGGGACGGTTCATAACCTTGAGCCAAAATGGCTACGGAGATCGAGGAGGAGGAGGAGGAGGAGGAGGAGGAGGAGGAGGAGGAGGAGGAGGAGGAGGAGGAGGAGTAGGAAGAGGGCGAGGAGGAGGAGGAGGAGGATCGAGGAGGAGGAGGAGGAGGAGGATCGAGGTGGATGATGAGGAGACAGGGGAGAAGCAGTTATTATCGGCTGTCCCAGGGGCGCGAAGCGGGCCCCCTGGAGGACGCAGCCCGCGGAAGGAGATACGGAGTACACTGCAAAAACACGAACCGAGGCCTCGAAGCCACTCGAAATCAAGAAGCATCGAACATTTACGGTAGGTTCGTGCGGCGTTGGCGCGCCAGCGGCGCCAGCGAAGGCGTTCAAGGTTGAAGTCTACGACGCGGAAGCACCGAGGGGCACGGTAATGCCAGTAGACCCGACGGAATTCAACCTTGCACGACGAAGACGGGCCCGATCAGCGCCACCCTGATGGGCACAGTACTCAGAGGATGGTCGTGACCGATGCAGTTAGTTGGCGCCCTCCTGCCGCTTGACTGCGATGTCCTTCGCCGAAGTGGCGCTCTCATGCCACTTTCCTGCCACCCTCCTGCGCGTTTCCGAAGCACCAGTTGCTGGGTATACGGTCGGACCTATGCCAGAAGAGCATCCTTCAAATACATGAGACCCTCCACCGGCCAAAACACACAGAACATTCCAGGATACCCTCCCTAGGATGCACAATAACATCCAACAAACACGAAGAACACCACGGTAGCCCCCCGAGCCGACCTCGATCCTATACGCCTGTCCGACCGTATAGCAGGTCAGTTCTTGCCCCGCGCGGGCTGCTCAACCTTGAGCGACCGCGGCTTCTCTCGGCAATCCCCGAAGACCGCTTGGTGATAGACCGCGCGGTGTCCTCGAAACTCCGAAGGGCCTCACCGCACCGTCCGTCACCGCAATTTTGGGACCCTGGAGGCCCCAATCGCCCGAAACATCCCCAGATGACGACCCGATCCCCCGAGCCATGCGGTGACCCCGGATCCCCACTGACTCGCCGCACGGTGTGGTCACCACACCGTTTCGGGGGGCCTCTGGTTCTTGATAACGCCGATCGTTCGACACAACTCCATCGGAAGGCTCGTGGCCCATGGCGGCAAAAATCAAGCGTGAACGTGACAGCGCCGACCATTCGATATAACTCCCTCGGCTGGCTTGTGGCCCCTGGCGGCCATCAACCTGGGCGGTCACCGCCGCGGCGCGCCCCTCCCGCACCCGTCTCGGCGGCGCGGGCCCGAGCCCCCGTGCGGAGCCCTGGGTGGCGATGCGCGCTCGCAGAGAGGAGGTGGCATCCGAGCTCCCGGCCGCCCGGGGATCTGTTGGACCCCTCTCCAAGAGGCACCCGAAAAGTCCCCGAGAGCCCTCCCCCGAGGCTCCTGACTCACGGGCCCGGGCAAGGCACGATGCCACGACTCGTGACGAATTCCTTGCTGTGGGGGTCGGCTGATTGGCGTAAATTCCTTGGACATGTTTGTCCTGGGTCAATGCTTGCTTGTCCCGTGGCCCGGAAACGGCCCCCCGGAGGCCGAAATCCAGGAAGACCGTTTGGATTGCAACAAACATCTGGGTCGCCTAACTTCGCACAGCGCGCCCCGCGATGCGCCTCCGCGCCCCCGCGGGGCCACCTTGGATAGGAAAAGGGCAACACTCAGGCCCAGGCCGCGACGCGCGAAACTCTATCATTTTCGCGCCTCTGAGGATGACCTACTGTCGTTTACTTTGGAGCAGCTTGTCGCCACGGCGGCCACCGCGACACGCTATCCCGTGCGGGCAAATCCGCCGACCCTGTCGGCGTGTGCGAGGGGTTTCCTCGTCCGTTCCTCGCCGCCCCCCCTTCTTCCTTCCCCCTTTTTTCCTTTTGGGCCGT